AGCGGAAGTTCTGTGTGTACCGTGTGTGCTGTATGAGCACGCTGGATACACAGTACCACATCCATTGGTTTCCAATTACTGATCAAACTAAGAGAAGTGGCACTGAGGTCAAAACTGAATAGCAGACAAAGAATGTGATGGCATCCACAGCGCGTTCACGACTCCGATAGCATGTCACGATAGGAGTGCGCGCATCACCAGCACATCGCGATACCCACTGCGACTGGCGCATCACTGTCCATATATCGCAATATGACATACCCTGACAAAAGCCCCCACCCCCATGTCACGACACTGAGTCCACATATCGCGATATAACAGACAACCCCGCGCCCATGTCGCGACATGAATCCCATATATCGCGATATGAAATACCCCGACAAAATGCCCCGCCCCCATGTCGCGACATGAAGCCCGTATATCGCGATATGAAATACCCCGAAAAAATGCCCCGCCCCCATGTCGCGACACGAAGTCCCTATATCGCGATATGAAATACCCCAACAAAAATGCCCCACCCCCATGTCACGACATGAAGCCCGTATATCGCGATATGAAATACCCCGACAAAATGCCCCGCCCCCATGTCGCGACATGAAGCCCGTATATCGCGATATGAAATACCCCGACAAAATGCCCCGCCCCTATGTCGCGACATGAAGCCCATATATCGCGATATGAAATACGCCGACAAAATGCCCCGCCCCCATGTCACGACATGAAGCCCGTATATCGCGATATGAAATACCCCGACAAAATGCCCCGCCCTCATGTCACGACATGAAGCCCTATATCGCGATATGAAATACCCCGACAAAATGCCCCACCCCCATGTCACGACATGAAATCCATATGTTGCGATAGGACATTGCGACACGTCTTATCTGGGTATATCATATCCTGATATGAGATCTTTGTTGCGACAGCGGTGCCAGGGTGGCATGGAAACAAGGCGCCAGTTGTGATATACATTGCCGCGATATACTGTACATGGGGTCCCTATCATGACATGCTGCGGAGCTCTTGTCCCGATGGTATGCACAGTTATGCGTTTGGCAACAGCGTGTCACGGTAGGGAAAGAAAGGAAAACGTGCCTTAGAAACTAAAAACCATAGATCTGACAATCACAGTGATTTTACATACATTACAACCACAGGTTTATGTCATAGATAGTTAACTTGTCGGCATCCGTCATGTCTTAGTATCTAAGGAGGCTGATATGTTTATGGATATTGATTGTCTTTTAAAATGTTAAGGGTACGAGCGAAACTGTAACAGAGCGCTTGAACTCGGCAGACGGGGTCACTGGAGGTCAAAGTCGCCGTGCATGGTCACGTGATCGCCGAAAAAACAAGGCTGTAGCACTGTACAGTAACAAATGAGACCGGTTTGGTTTTAAACTTGTATGAAGCCCACGAAATTAGTATTCTATTTTCGATGCCAAAAGACACCTAATTTGGAAAATCGTAACTTCCCACAAGACTTAACACTGAATTGGTATAGTCGCACTACAGCGCTAACCAATTCATCGTACCTTTAATTGCAAGAATGGTTTGCTAACAAAAGCGTCAAGTACATAATTGGGATGTATTTTAGCTCTGTAAACGTCGTTCGCTTATAAATACTGCAGGGTAATTCATCGCATTAGAGGCGATTAGATCAACTTGAACTGTAAAATGCACATTCGCATCTGTCAACAATACAGCGAACCAATAGAAAACCACATACGTTGAAAAAAGTCTAACACGTAACGTTAAAAAGCAAATCGTGTAACGGAAACATCTTAAATTACTTTGGACTGATTGCGTAGCCCTAAGATCAATGGCTACCGTGGCTACACCCCTGGTGTCCAGTCAGTGTGTCTGGACTGTATTAACCCCTCTCTCTCAGTGCAGTGTTAATGTCCTGGAGTGTCCAGTCAGTGTGTCTGTACTGTATTAACCCCTCTCTCAGTGCAGTGTTAATGTCCTGGAGTGTCCAGTCAGTGTGTCTGTATGAACCCCTCTCTCTCAGTGCAGTGTTAATGTCCTGGAGTGTCCAGTCAGTGTGTCTGTACTGTGTTAACCCCTCTCTTTCTCAGAGGAAAATTATGAATCCCATTCAGACATCACGATCACCAGTGAAGTCAGCTTTGCTGCCAAGGAGGGAGAAGGGGTGAGAGATTTTGACAATGTTGGAATTTTCTTACAAAACAGCATATGTTGCTTTAGGTGTGATGTGTCTAAATTGTTTATGAAACATCTCAGTTATAAACGCAGTGTTTGATACTAAATCCTGGAAAAAATGACTCAGAGTCAAAGAACACCATAGACTAAAAGTTCCACAGACTCACATAAATGGCCTCACAGGCCGCTTCGCACACAGAATAATACACACATAGACTTGTAAATAACTAGAGACTCACACAAACCTGCAGACAGCTTCAAAGACATACAGACTCACAGACGTACATACAGACTCATGAACAGATAGACAGGCTTGCAGGACGAGCTCATAGGCAGACTCTCGGAGACAAGCCTGGGACCTGGCTCTCAGAAATAGGCTGAAAGCACACAGCTGACCCCTGACCCCTGACCCCTGACCCCTTCCCTGCCTGTGTTTTCAGATCCAGCTCCCATTGTCCCAAATGGATCCAAGTGCAAAAACAGAAGAGGAAAAGGAAACCGTAGAAGAAATAATGCTTTTATTTAATAACACAGACAGGACATTTTCAGATATGACACAGAGCAAGGAGCACCACCTGGTCTGCAGTGATCTCCTTCTGTTTATATTGCTGCATTAAGTTAATGAAAGACTGTGAGCAAGACCAAACTTTAAAACGCCTTGGGAATTCTCTCCCAGCATGGATGAGTTTTGTGTCTAGGTTGTAGAACAGTTTGTTCAAAACTACAGTTTTGAAACTGTAGTTCAGAATACTTCCAGAAAGGGATCTCCCAGCAGGCAATTGTTTTAAAATGGACTAATGTTTGGAATAAACATGGAATAAAATGGAATCATTTCAATACAGTACCCCAGATATCACTGAGTGGACCCTGTAGGTCAGTGCTTTCTGAAAGGAGAAGCCTAAATTTAAGTAGGTAGCTGCGTCAGCATGTGTAGGCTGCAAGAAATAAATGATTTTTTCATATTGAAAAGAAAAGACACAATGTTTCGGCTGTGGAGCTGTCTTCAGGCACACCTGAAGAAGGCTCCACAGCCAAAACGTATCTCTTTTCTTTTCACCATTTACTTGTTCCTTTGAAACCTAAATTGGACTATCCAAGCCAGTAACAAGCTGCAAGTAAATCTGATGTACATTAAGAGCAGAGATGGAATATTGGTCAACATGTTATAGAGATGCCTCTAGAAACAGTCAAGGGAAGAGCACTCAGGGTCATTCTCATATTAAAGTTCCACACTAACAGACTGAAGGAACTGGGTCTCTTTAGTCTCAAGGGAGTGTCACAAACTGACAGGCTGAAGAAACTGAGTCTCTTTAGTCTGAAGGGAGTGTCCCACACTGATAGGGAGAAGCAGCTGAGTCTCTTAAATCTTGAACCGACAAGACTATGAGGGATCTGAGCCTAGTGTTCAGAAGTGTTGAAGTCATCGACAAAGTCAACACTGTGCCAGGGCCAGATGAACCTGTTGGTGGCTCTAGGCAAACAAAGGGTCTATACAAATACATTTTAACCCCCACAGATGTGAACGCTGGTAATACAATTAATTAAACCACATTTGTGATGGTTTGGCTGTCAGTGTTGAGCTGATGGATTAATAGTGTAGCTGAACGCTCTTACAACACCTCTCACTCCAGCTGACATGAACACCAGCAACGGGCCTGACCTTCCTGCTGAAAGGTTACAGCCAAGTGGAATCTGTCCCGCTGTTAATGAGAAAGTAAACCTGATCCACATCTGAAACACTACAGTAATAGTTAACACGGCAGCTTTCTTTCTCGATCTTGTCCTGCGAGCTCGACAGTCCCCGTTTCCGAGCCCAGGGGGCGCAGTGGTCTGCGGAGTGACACAGTCACGCACGGTCCCTGGCCACGTCTCTGAGCGTCGGGGCGAAGGGCTGTTTTAAATGCTCTGCGGCCTGAAGGACGTTTTCCCAAACATTGAACTGCATTAAACATTTCTTCTGTTCCTCCTGTAAACTGGGAAGCTGGGAACAATATAGCGCCCAGATCCCCTGGAAATAAAAAGACCCTGGACAAGGCACTTTCACTGTTGTAACAG